TCAATAACCAATAATCACAGCTCATAGTGCCGCCAGGAGCACTAAACTCAGTAGCTCCAGCTGCAAACCGGACTTCCACAATCTCGCAGCATCGAAACTGGAGGAGAAACAGTGTTGAAAATGGTCAACATAAGCCAAGTTCTCAACCGGCATCCATTCCCTATCAATGTCGCAACCGGCTGTGAGGCAAAGAAAGATATATTAAATAAACCTCTGGGTATTGTGAGCATAGAGAGATGGACGGCTCCAGAGCACAAGTGGTTAGGTCAATATGCTAGAATGTCAGTTTGGAATGACAAGTACCTGTGCTTTTCAGCTTAACACATCTGATTTCAACAAACCTCTATATTGTTTGTTAGGTAATCAAAGGATTATCTTCACCGCGCATCGGATAAGTCCATAAGCACTCGGATCCCATCCTCAATATATCCCTCAGCATGTGGTGGCTGATTACATCCGTTCTGTTGGTTTACTATTCTTCTTTGGCTACCTGAATAGTGTTGATGTATGGCGAGACCTCTTAATTAGTTTACTTTAATGACATGCTTGTTAGGGAGCCAACAGGTGTATTAACCCCCCCCCCCCCCCCCCCATATGGAGCCTTCAGAACCTGCAAGGAGAGATATAAACTGTTGAAGTTCTATGGTAGCCAACTCTCAATGCAAGATTAGTGTTTGATTGAATTCCCCTTGGGTTTCCAGAGCCCAATTTTTAGGACAAAAGAACAGAATCAATGCCCCTTCCACAAGCGTGTCATAAAAGGTAGAGCTAACTGGTGTGGGTTCTTTTCAAAGTTGGAATAGAATAACAAAGGCAATGAAGTCAGTAAAACCACATGAACACAGAAAAGTCATTAAGAGATGTTTTAATAATTTATAGAATGAAGCTGCCAGGACCTAGGTTTGTGTTCATTACATAAAATCGATGCAAAAAGGTCATGCTGTATGTCTTGCATTTAGAAGTTTGCAGGTGTGTTCCATGGACGCCTCGTTCATTTCACAAATGCAATATTTATGGAGATCCCTGAGGATTGCCACTCGAGCTATGGAGTTTGTGCTTTGTGTGATAATCTCCACAGGAGGCCAGCATTATGCAGAGACAGACTGATCAATAGCCCGGTACAACAAAATCAATTCTCTAGACTTTGAAAATGTGTAATGAATCTATATTGTTCACATCCAGTAAACCATGTTTCAACTGGATCAGTTATACTTTCCAAAGATCTTTACCTCTTTGTGAAGCATCTGCTTTCAAATTGTAAGATCAGTGACTATCTATGCTTTAAATAATCAATTAAAAAGTTTCTGAATATTTATAAAATAAAGACATTAAAAAATACATCCTAAGGCGCTTGGGGGAAGGGGGGGGGGGGTGTTAATATAAGACCATGTCTTATTTTCAGAGAAACACAGTAATATGAGGGAAGATAACCAGAGTTGTACACCTATTTGGGCAGGAATGTAGATACAGACAGAAGAACTGATAAAGATATTAAAATATGAATACAAAAGGTAAGAGAAGCTTTCCTAGCTCTAGGGAATTAGTGGAGGTCAAAAGAAATTATAACTAATACTAAACTAACATTTTTTATTCCAATTCAAATCAATGCAGTTGTAAGGAGCGGAAACATGGCGAACAACTAAAGCAATTACTAATAAATTACAAACATTTTTTAACTGGTGCCTGTAGAGCTTTGAAAGAGAACTAAAGTTCCAGTGGACCAATAGGTGAGAAAACACGCTGGTGTTGGATAGGACACATGTTGACAAAACCTGAAAACAATATAACTAGAATGTTTTTGCACTGGAACCCACAGGGGCACATAAATAAAGGAAGACCCAAAAAAACACACATGAAGAAAGGAGCTAGAGAGTGACGTTAAAAAGATGAGGAGAACTGCATGCGATAACAAAGAACAGAAAGACTTGGTGTGAGGTGACTGCGGGTCTGTGCTCCATTGAGAGGTAGAAGAAGAAAATTACCAGCACACCATGCACTGAGAGCTGACAAGTAAGATTGCCTGGCAGGACGGTACCAAGTCTTTGATGCTAATTCACTGACAAGTAAGCTTGCCTGCCAGGATGGTACCAAGTCTTTGATGCTAATTCACTGACAAGTAAGCTTGCCTGGCAGGATGGTACCAAGTCTTTGATGCTAATTCACTGACAAGTAAGCTTGCCTGGCAGGATGGTACCAAGTCTTTGATGCTAATTCACTGACAAGTAAGCTTGCCTGGCAGGATGGTACCAAGTCTTTGATGCTAATTCACTGACAAGTAAGATTGCCTGCCAGGATAGTACCAAGTCTTTGATGCTAATTCACTGACAAGTAAGATTGCCTGCCAGGATAGTACCAAGTCTTTGATGCTAATTCACTGACAAGTAAGCTTGCCTGCCAGGATGGTACCAAGTCTTTGATGCTAATTCACTGACAGGTAAGCTTGCCTGCCAGGATGGTACCAAGTCTTTGATGCTAATTCACTGACAAGTAAGATTGCCTGCCAGGATGGTACCAAGTCTTTGATGCTAATTCACTGACAAGTAAGATTGCCTGCCAGGACGGTACCAAGTCTTTGATGCTAATTCACTGACAAGTAAGATTGCCTGCCAGGACGGTACTAAGTCTTTGATGCTAATTCACTGACAAGTAAGATTGCCTGCCAGGATGGTACCAAGTCTTTGATGCTAATTCACTGACAAGTAAGCTTGCCTGGCAGGATGGTACCAAGTCTTTGATGCTAATTCACTGACAAGTAAGCTTGCCTGGCAGGATGGTACCAAGTCTTTGATGCTAATTCACTGACAAGTAAGATTGCCTGCCAGGATAGTACCAAGTCTTTGATGCTAATTCACTGACAAGTAAGATTGCCTGCCAGGATGGTACCAAGTCTTTGATGCTAATTCACTGACAAGTAAGCTTGCCTGGCAGGATGGTACCAAGTCTTTGATGCTAATTCACTGACAAGTAAGCTTGCCTGGCAGGATGGTACCAAGTCTTTGATGCTAATTCACTGACAAGTAAGCTTGCCTGGCAGGATGGTACCAAGTCTTTGATGCTAATTCACTGACAAGTAAGATTGCCTGCCAGGATAGTACCAAGTCTTTGATGCTAATTCACTGACAAGTAAGATTGCCTGCCAGGATAGTACCAAGTCTTTGATGCTAATTCACTGACAAGTAAGATTGCCTGCCAGGATAGTACCAAGTCTTTGATGCTAATTCACTGACAAGTAAGCTTGCCTGCCAGGATGGTACCAAGTCTTTGATGCTAATTCACTGACAGGTAAGCTTGCCTGCCAGGATGGTACCAAGTCTTTGATGCTAATTCACTGACAAGTAAGATTGCCTGCCAGGATGGTACCAAGTCTTTGATGCTAATTCACTGACAAGTAAGATTGCCTGCCAGGACGGTACCAAGTCTTTGATGCTAATTCACTGACAAGTAAGATTGCCTGCCAGGACGGTACTAAGTCTTTGATGCTAATTCACTGACAAGTAAGATTGCCTGCCAGGATGGTACCAAGTCTTTGATGCTAATTCACTGACAAGTAAGATTGCCTGCCAGGATGGTACCAAGTCTTTGATGCTAATTCACTGACAAGTAAGATTGCCTGCCAGGATGGTACCAAGTCTTTGATGCTAATTCACTGACAAGTAAGCTTGCCTGCCAGGATGGTACCAAGTCTTTGATGCTAATTCACTGACAAGTAAGCTTGCCTGCCAGGATGGTACCAAGTCTTTGATGCTAATTCACTGACAAGTAAGATTGCCTGCCAGGATGGTACCAAGTCTTTGATGCTAATTCACTGACAAGTAAGATTGCCTGCCAGGATGGTACCAAGTCTTTGATGCTAATTCACTGACAAGTAAGATTGCCTGCCAGGATGGTACCAAGTCTTTGATGCTAATTCACTGACAAGTAAGATTGCCTGCCAGGACGGTACCAAGTCTTTGATGCTAATTCACTGACAAGTAAGCTTGCCTGCCAGGACGGTACCAAGTCTTTGATGCTAATTTACTGACAAGTAAGATTGCCTGCCAGGATGGTACCAAGTCTTTGATGCTAATTTACTGACAAGTAAGCTTGCCTGGCAGGATGGTACCAAGTCTTTGATGCTAATTTACTGACAAGTAAGATTGCCTGCCAGGATGGTACCAAGTCTTTGATGCTAATTCACTGACAAGTAAGCTTGCCTGCCAGGACGGTACCAAGTCTTTGATGCTAATTCACTGACAAGTAAGATTGCCTGCCAGGACGGTACCAAGTCTTTGATGCTAATTCACTGACAAGTAAGATTGCCTGCCAGGATGGTACCAAGTCTTTGATGCTAATTCACTAAGAACATTCAATCTTGCTCTTCTTCATATCCTCTTACTGCTTCAGGTGTCAAGGGAGATACAGTAAAGACTGCTTAAGGTGATCTCGGATGTGTTCAACTTGTGAAGAACAATTTGTTTATTCCTGGCAATTTTTCTTGCTTTACTGTTTATCTGGATAAGAGGAATTTCTGATAAGAACCATTTCTTGGGTCCTTGGTGAATTCTTCTTAACAGGTCTGCATTGTATGAGGTCGGTTTCTTGTTCTTCTGGACTGCCTTAATTAACCATACACAATAAAGATGTTGTAGAGTTTCTCTGATGTTATCCTTCCATCTTGTTCTTGGTCTACCCTGTGCTCTACGTCCTTTTCTTGTACTGTATCCCTTGTATGATATGAAAAAGATGCAATAAGTAATATAATTTTACAGATCTCTATAGTAGTGTCTCCATAGAAAAGTTAAAATGCACTGAATGACTTCAAGGAATCAATCAATCTTATGCCATCTTTGGTGGTTGGCTTTGATGTATCGCCAAAACACACTGTCTCTTGTCTTGGTAGTACACAGTCCCTGACTGCTGTGCGTCCATCTCTTTTGCTGTCCTCCCACTTGTATCAATGTCTGCCTCTTGCTCTTTTGGGTTCACATATTTCCTCCAGTATGGGTTTTAAAAGAGTGAATTCAAGGAATATCAGGAGCTTCTTCATCAGAATCAAATTCTGCATTTTCATCTTTGATCCATTTCCCATCCCAGTCTCTCTTCCAACCAGATCTGAAAAAAGAATGTGGAAAACATATTATATTGTTTGTAAGTAAACATTTTAAAGTCAAGGACCCCCTTTCAACGCCTTCAGACATACTGGACACATATGGTGCCAATGGGGCCGCGTTAGCACAGTTGATAAGAGGCCCGCTTTCAAATCCAGCTGCTACTCACTGCAGCGGCTCCCGGGGTTCACCCAGCCTCTAGGAAATGAGTACCAGAGTTGACACACTGGGGTAAATGGAGGAACGTCACTGTAGCTACTGAGTTATGTGCGAACGGCGACACAGGCGAACAATTCTTATCAGCTGTCCGTACTGGTGGCAGAGCACTTATGGTTTATAACCGTGTGCAATGACGCCGGCTCACATCTCCCAACTTTACCTTTACATATGGTGCCAAAACTATATTTTATAGAGCAATCAGTACTCAAGACCAGACCGGCTGCCTTTACCTAGTACCCATTTAGGCCTGGCCAACCTGGGATCCAAGGTAATCTTTTTTTTTTAAATGGGCTCTGTTGGTAATTTAAACCTACGATCTTCGGATCTACACGCACCCTCTCTCTAGTCAGTATAAATATAATAATGATTTCCACTAAATGCAGATATGCGTATGTGTAATGCATAACACTGGATGAACTGATGGTCTGGATACTGCCTTCACTAATGGACAGTATGGAAATACAGGTATTAATTACCCAATGGTCAGCACAAACGTGATGTCACCAGCTGGATGAATGTTGTGTGCAGTAACTGAGGTAGCTAGTTCACTTTGTGTCAGCCACTCAAGACTGCCTTACTTCAGCTTTATCACAACAATGTACCCAGCATCGGATACTGCTAACATCCACTGCCAAATCTCCATAAACATTCTTTAAATGTATGTGGATGTGAACTGGGTTCTCACCCACTGAAACAGGCTAGTAATGCTGCACAGTGTAGAAGAGAGTTTGAGGAGTTGTGATAAATTTATAAACTGCCCACGATGCAGCATTTACAAAGAATTTTTGTTAAATGGAAGGCATTACTTTTTTTTTAACTCTTTGAGTCCCAGGGGGTTTAGCATCACAGGCCCAGGGGGTAGTAAAGAAAGTAATAAAATCGGCGCATCATGCGTTCATTGGGCTTCTAGCTAGGAACCTATGAACGTATGATGCGTTCTTTGGGACTCAAAGAGTTAAACGGGTTCCCAGAGTGAAAGGGTTAAACACACTCTAATCATGAAAACTAGTCATGGCTGAAGATCTTTCAGGAGACTGCTACCAATAATATTATGTTCCAGGGCTCTATTTGGGGAGCTGGGGGTGGGGGGGGGGGGGGGGGGTGGGGGTGGTGGATGAATAGACCCACCAGGTCCCCATCAAGCATGCTGTAAAAGATGACAAATGAGGGATTTTTCCTCTCAAGTTGGAGCACACCTGTCTGAGAGCCGAGAAGAAAACCAACAGTCTGGATACAAATATGCAGACCTGATCCTCTCCCACTTCAGCTCTATATCTGTTGTGTGACCATTACATTTTTCAATGTATTATATTTAAATAAAATGTAAAAAAAAAAAAAAAAAAAAAGACCCAAGGCCAGAAGTAGACAAACAACTAGAACTTTCCACAGAATTTTACAGCTGGTGAATGCTAAGAAGAGAGAAAATATATTCCCTTCTTTCTCTTGCAAACAAACATATGAAGTTCTCTTTAGCTTTCACCGATTTAAACTCCAATGGAACATTCTGGTTCTTCATCTGCTTCTCGACTTTAATCTGGTTCCAGAACTTGAGTTTTGTACGCACAACCATTTTGCAGATCTAGCTTATTTGTAAGCAGACTGTTGGTTCATCGCCTCAGGCATTTGCACTCTAACTCTTCACAGGAAACGCCCCTAATTAGTTGACTTTTACGACATGCTTGCCAGGGGGCACTGAATCTGTTCTTTGTTCCCCAAAATGGAGCCCTTGAACCTACACAGGGAACACTAACTGGTAATTTCTAAATTAAATATTTGTTTTTAAAGTAGAAAGATTTTCCAGTGGAAGACAACAAGGTCTGTGGCGTTCAACGTTTCAATGTCATTCAGGGCATATTGAAATAACATTAAGACCATCAAATGAATTGCCCTGCCTTTATCTAACCAAAAGGAAACAATCTGCATGTATACCCTTTGACATCTGCTGAAAGAGACAGAGCATTGATGCGCTTGTCTCAAGTGTAATAATTCTTGATCCCTAAAATATTCTTAGATACTTTGAAGATAATGAATTCAACTTACCCCTGCAGTAGTCTTAGTTTTTCAGATACACAACTCTGATCTTTTAGATCTCCACTGGCCACAGGTAGAAGAGACTTGCCTGATGCCACTGTTGCTCCATTTGGGACTGCTGGTGTCCGACTACAGTTATTTGTACTGGTATGTGGCGGTGGAGGTAGAGGGGACTTTCCTAATGCCACTGCTACATATTGGACTGCTGGTGTCCGACTACAGTTATTTGTACCGGTTGTACCGACAACTGGTGGTGACGGTGGAGGCTGAAGGGACTTTCCTGATGCCACTGCTACATTTTGGACTGTTGGTGTCCGACTACAGTTATTTGTACTGGTATGTGGCGGTGGAGGTAGAGGGGACTTTCCTGATGCCACTGCTACATTTTGGACTGCTGGTGTCTGACTACAGTTATTTGTACCGGTTGTACCGACAACTGGTGGTGGCGGTGGAAGTCGAAGAGACTTTCCTGATGCCACTGCTACATTTTGGACTGCTGGTGTCTGACTACAGTTTTTTGTACTGGTAATTAGTGGTGGTGGCGGCGGTGGTGGAGGCAGAAGAAAAGCTGCAGCAGATAAACCGTGTGACTGTATACCAGCCTTCAGATTTGAAATACATGATGACACATCTTCCAGCGCTGATGATTTATTAGCAGACACAACTACACAAGAAACTGCATCTGAATTTAATTTATTCCAAGAAGGTGGATCACAAACAGACAAGGAAACAGAGCATGTGCTAGAGCCAGTAACCACGCCTGTATGGAGTCTGTCTCTCAAGGCATTAATCTGGGGAACTGTTGTGCAAGGCAACTCGTTGGTTAATGAAGTCCTGACACTGCTCTGTTGCAGGGGAATAATGTTTTTTCTAAACTTAGACTGGTATGGTGTTATTCTAACTGGTTCTTCAAGCTTGTTGCTGAAAATGTTCTTTAACTGATGATCATGCATAATTGGCCCAGACACTGACTGTTCATATGTGTTTCTCAGTACTGAAAAGCCACAGATGCTGCTGTCAACAATGGCTGCAACAGGTGAAGCGGATGGTTTTTGATGAAATGATTGTGGTGTGGATGTCACTCCACGGTTCCCACCAATCTCCAGTATTGGTCTTCTTTCACCTTGTTTAACTTTTGACTTTTTCACTCGAGGATCGTAGGGACAAGAGGTAATGATTCCCCTTTGAGCGGGAACAGCCTGAAGGTCATACAAAAGAAAACCAAGATTAATTACATTTTTAAAACATACATAGTCTGCAGATTTAGAAGAATAGGCTATCCTCCGACTAACGGTCGGCAAAGATGGCGGCCGCAAAATATCCTTTCGAGCCATAGTCACGTGACTTAATTGCGCACGCTGCAGCTCGTGGGTCCTAGCCATCTAGTTTAGCCCCATTCCACGCCACGTGAGCGGCGTAAGGGACATGTGGCGGTGGCGGTAGTCGCTGGAAAGCTGCCGGAGAACCGCAAATTAAGCCGCGTGACTGTGGCTCGAAAGGATATTTTGCGGCTGCCATCTTTGTCAACCGTTAGTCGGAGGATAGCCGAAGAATAAATGCTGACATTCTACATCCATGCTCTTCAACCTGTGAGCCGAAGACAATGGCTCACCTGGAAGGAGACGGGCACTAACTAGGTCAGATTTTGCCCTGCCCCACCATGCGACGGGCCTAACAAGCCGGCAGCGGTCTAACTGATTGCTACCACACAAAAAATATTGAAAACACGCTGGTCCGTGAAAACTTCCTGGCAGTCTGTTAAAAATGCCTGCCCAATGTAGCGGTTACAATAGAAAACAAATGGAGATATCTACTGGATATTATTGCAGCACTTTGTCTCTCTGAAAGAAAAAAAAATCCTGCCAGGTACAGAAAAATTGTCCCCCATGTGTCACGCTGCGAGAGTAAAATATAATAGCTTGTGTTGCCATCTTCATTATTCTATCTTCCAATGGGGGTATGACTTCAACCGATTCATGAATGAGTGGTTGGAGTACAGCTACTGTTTTCTATGGGATAAGGTAGCCACTATTTTATATGGGATAAGGTGACCACTGTTTTCTATGATATAAGGTAACCACCATTTAATATAGATAAGAAGCCAGTTTTCTATGGGAAAGGTAGCCACTGTTTTACATGGCATAAGGTAACCATCATTTTATATGGGATAAGGTAGTTACTGTTTTACAGGGGATAAGGTAGCCACAGTTGTAAATAGGGGTAAAGTAGCCAATGTTTTATGAGATAAAGTATCCAATTTTATATAGGAAGACTTGATAAAGTAGCTACTTATTTCTATGGGATAAGGCATACAATGTTTTCTATGGGATAAGGCATACAATGTTTTCTATGGGATAAGGCATACAATGTTTTCTATGGGATAAGGCATACAATGTTTTCTATGGGATAAGGCATACAATGTTTTCTATGGGATAAGGCATACAATGTTTTCTATGGGAAAAGGCATACAATGTTTTCTATGGGAAAAGGCATACAATGTTTTCTATGGGATAAGGTAGCCGGCCTCTACCTCTCCTCAGTCCTACAGCTGTCCATACTAGCGGTTGTCCAGACATTTCTCTTATTTTTTTGCCTGTCTTGAACTCACCTTATTTGATGTTCCATTAGTATCTTTTTTTTTCAAATGAACTGTTCCCATGTGGATTCCGGGGTTCCTTGTGGGGAAAACAAGAACAGACCCACTGCCTCCCTAACAAGCATATTGTGAGAGTTGACTAACTGGGGGCTTCCTTTGAAGTCAGAGTGCATCTACATGAGAGGTAAGAAGCCAACAGTCTGCAGACAAAAAAGTCAGACCAGTAAAACAGACTTGCACGCAACACTCAGGTTCTGGAACAGGACTAAAGTCCAGAGGCGGCCAAACAACCAGAACTTTCCACTGGAGTTTACAGCTGGTGAACATTAAAGAGAAATACACTAAACTTTTGCCCATGTCCTTAGAAACATGAGCACTAACAAACAAATGATCGGAACAGAAATGATTACCATTTTGATGGTTGTTGTGCCATCTTTCAAGTACTGTTGATGTTTTCTTGCTGCAATCAGCTGCTTTAACTCCCTTTTCTTTGCAATGTGGACTTCCAGATCTGAAGATGATGTGAAGTTAAAACATATCAACAAATCATAAAAGGAATAATTTTCAATTTACTAATTAGAGATTTTCACGAATTCTGAATAACCTGGGTTCATCTGGGTAAAGACTCAACATTAGAGCATTCAGGACATTAGCTCCATCTCACTCCTCAACAGCCAGCGTTGAGTCTCCATACTGACAGTACCCAATGTCATCCGGTTAACTACTGGCCTGGCCGTTCCCTTGAGTCTCAAGTGGTAACCTACCCAATGTCGTCTGGTTAACTACTGGCCTGGCCGTTCCCTTGAGTCTCAAGTGGTAACCTACCCAATGTCGTCTGGTTAACTACTGGCCTGGCCGTTCCCTTGAGTCTCAAGTGGTAACCTACCCAATGTCATCCGGTTAACTACTGGCCTGGCCGTTCTCTTGAGTCTCAAGTGGTAACCTACCCAATGTCGTCTGGTTAACTACTGGCCTGGCCGTTCCCTTGAGTCTCAAGTGGTAACCTACCCAATGTTGTCTGGTTAACTACTGGCCTGGCCGTTCCCTTGAGTCTCAAGTGGTAACCTACCCAATGTCATCTGGTTAACTACTGGCCTGGCCGTTCTCTTGAGTCTCAAGTGGTAACCTACCCAATGTCATCTGGTTAACTACTGGCCTGGCCGTTCCCTTGAGTCTTAAGTGGTAACCTACCCAATGTCATCCGGTTAACTACTGGCCTGGCCGTTCCCTTGAGTCTCAAGTGGTAACCTACCCAATGTCGTCTGGTTAACTACTGGCCTGGCCGATCCCTTGAGTCTCAAGTGGTAACCCACCCAATGTCATCCGGTTAACTACTGGCCTGGCCGTTCCCTTGAGTCTCAAGTGGTAACCCACCCAATGTTGTCTGGTTAACTACTGGCCTGGCCGTTCCCTTGAGTCTCAAGTGGTAACCCACCCAATGTCATCTGGTTAACTACTGGCCTGGCCGTTCCCTTGAGTCTCAAGTGGTAACCTACCCAATGTTGTCTGGTTAACTACTGGCCTGGCCGTTCCCTTGAGTCTCAAGTGGTAACCTACCCAATGTCATCTGGTTAACTACTGGCCTGGCCGTTCCCTTGAGTCTCAAGTGGTAACCTACCCAATGTCGTCTGGTTAACTACTGGCCTGGCCGATCCCTTGAGTCTCAAGTGGTAACCCACCCAATGTCATCCGGTTAACTACTGGCCTGGCCGTTCCCTTGAGTCTCAAGTGGTAACCCACCCAATGTTGTCTGGTTAACTACTGGCCTGGCCGTTCCCTTGAGTCTCAAGTGGTAACCCACCCAATGTCATCTGGTTAACTACTGGCCTGGCCGTTCCCTTCAGTCTCAAGTGGTAACCTACCCAATGTTGTCTGGTTAACTACTGGCCTGGCCGTTCCCTTGAGTCTCAAGTGGTAACCTACCCAATGTCATCTGGTTAACTACTGGCCTGGCCGTTCCCTTGAGTCTCAAGTGGTAACCTACCCAATGTTGTCTGGTTAACTACTGGCCTGGCCGTTCCCTTAAGTCTCAAGTGGTAACCTACCCAATGTCATCTGGTTAACTACTGGCCTGGCCGTTCCCTTGAGACTCAAGTGGTAACCCACCCAATGTTGTCTGGTTAACTACTGGCCTGGCCGTTCCCTTAAGTCTCAAGTGGTAAGCTACCCGATGTTGTCTGGTTAACTACTGGCCTGGCCGTTCCCTTGAGTCTCAAGTGGTAACCTACCCAATGTTGTCTGGTTAGCTAATGGCCTTGCCGTTTCCTTAAGTCTCAAGTGGTACCCACAGCCGCAGTCCGAATGGGTTCTGGGGTCCCATTTTGGGAACAACAAGAACAGACCCGCTGCCTCTTCGAGCTTGTCGTAAGAGTTGAATAACTGGGGGGTTTCCTTCAAAGGCAGAGTGCACTGGTCAGCAAGGCAAGGAACCAACAGTCTGCACACAAATAAGCAAGATCTGTAAAACAAAGTTAAAGTCCACAAATGGACGAACAAGCAGGTTTTTCTGCCAGAGTTTACAGCCAGTAAAAGCAAACAACAACATTCTCCAAGTGAACATTTTCAATATTTTGTATTTTAATTGTTAGCCCATCCCCCAGGTAAGAGACTACCTTTGCATTGTGTAGTTGCAGTACACCTCCCAAGTGGGGCCAGTCCAGCTAATCTATCTGCCTGCTCATGACCAAACACACCTACAATGCCCAGGTGAACTGTTGATAAATAATACCATATTTTGGGTCATACAAAACTTGTAGCAATCTTCTTCTTCTTTGCATTCACGGGCTGTAAACTCTGGTGGAAAGTTCTGGGTATTTGTCCACCTCTGTACTTTAGTCTTGTTCCAGAAACTGAGTGTTCCGTGCACATCCATTTGACACATCTGACTTATCTGTAAGCAGATTGTTCATTGCTTGCCTCTCAGGCAGATGCACCCTGACTTCAAAGGAAGCCCTGAGTTAGTAGACTCTTACAACATGCTTGTTGGTGAGGCAGTGGGTCTGTTCTTGTTTGCCCCACGATGTTGCTCCGGAACCCACACCCGGAGCTTGTAGCAATAAATCTTATAGTCACATGAGGGCCATAAGAAATCGTCTTGACATCGACCCGGTTGCCACAAGATATGAAGATAAGTGATATTGTGTATTTGTGTAGTATTGTCTAATCTATGTATGTGCTGAAGAAGGCTCGATAGCTGCAACGTTCACGTTTTGTTTGTTACATGGTGAAGCTGGCTGATATACTTTTCGTTTGGTCTTATATCTTTCCTTGACTTAAAGGAAACATCCCTATATTAGTCACCTCTTACAACATGTTCAAGTGTCTATTCTTTCTTCCCCACGATGGAGTCCTCAAACTCACACAGGGAAGACCAAGAACAAGATGGAAAGATAACATCAGAGAAACTCTACAACAATGATTTCAAGAAATCAATCATCCATATGCCATCTCCACTATGATGGTTGGCCGTGATGTAACTCCAGCACTCTGTCTCTTGTCTACCAGACTGCTGTATGTCCGTCTCTTTTGCTGTCCTCCCACTTGTATAAATGTCTGCCTCTTGCTCTTTTGGTTTCAAAATTTTCCTCCAGTATGGTTTACAAAAAAAAGTGAATTCAAGGAATATCAGAAGCTTCTTCATCAGAAGCTAATTCTGCATTTTCATCTTTGACCCATTTTCCAGTCTCTCTTCCAGTTAGATTTGAAGAACAACAAAAAAAGAATGTTATATTTGTGCTTCTACATTGTTTACTGGCTCCCAAAGGACCCTGATAACATCTAGCCTGTTCAGTTCACAGAAAAAAAAAAGACATACAAAATAATAATAAAGTGACTTACTTGACAAATGTTTTTTGCCTTGTCTGTGTATACTGAGCACGTTGACAGTGTCAAAGACAGGGTTACTGGGGCAAACTGTGCAGGTAAACCTGAAAAGAAAGATCATGTCAGTGAGATGGTGGTCTCAGTCAGGGGCATTGAGTTGAGCTAATTGAGTCTCTGCAGATGGGGATGTACAGAAGACTAGGCCGTATTTCATGGAGACAAAAACAGTCCAATACATACCTGAGTGTGCTGAGTGATTCTGTGAGCATGATCTGAAGGGGTCAAGGTAGGCTCTGTACACAGACAGTGGAGTCATTGAAAAACTCCATGGTGCGTGGCATTACCCTCATCTTTGTCTAAGGGAATGGTGTTGTTATTGGTGATGAAAGAGCTGATAGACCGGACGGTTCAGCGTTAGTTGCTGATGGCTGGCCTAAGGATCAGGCCAACATTGTCAATGCCCTTGGAAAGATAGGAAGACTGGAGAATTTCAGGAGCAGAATATCCACATCACTGCTAAGAATGCAAGAATTGACAGTAAAGATCGGCACAGCCAGGCATGAGAAGTACACCGGACATACAAGAAGTCTTGTCAACCGGCACAGGACTGGCACTATTAATTGCAAGACACTGGTGTATTTGTTGTGTTAAAGGGAGAAACTGAGCACCTATGCATGTGTTTAAAGTGCTATGAAGATAGCCCAACTCAGACAGAGGCTTTGGAGAGACCAGGGAATAAAAAGAAAGTTACTGAAATAAATAAAAAACAGACAAGTTAAATATTCTGCCCACATTAAAAGACATAACACTCTTGTTAAAACCATCCTGGAAGGAAAGGTCGAAGGCAAGAGAGCAAGAGGTAGGCAATGATACAAAATGGGATGACCATGTCAAGGGATGGATGAACAGCAGCCTGAAAAAGTGTACAACTGAGACAGGAGATCCACTGCTGTTAATTTCATTGTGAATATAGCACTGACAGACTGAACTAACAAACTTTATTTTCATCAGCTGGCAAAACAGAAGATGAGATTCATGACCCATGTAACATAGCAAACCACCTCACGGGTGGCACCAACACTAAGAAATAAACATGTATCGGTAGAAACCAAAAGAGCATGCTGCAACACAATCTTTTTGCCAACCCTGTGTTATCAATACCAGACCTGGCCAATGATAGAAAAGAGAAAAGAAAAATTACAACTGAAATTAGATGCCTGCGAAGGGATCTCAATATAACAAGAAGAGATCAGATAAGAAACAATCAAATCTGAAGGAAAATGGTGGTAACAGCAGCTCAGGGTTTTATTATCACAGGACAACAGGATAAGACAGTGAGATACCACAGCAACAATGATGTACAACCTCAGATTACATCCGCATTTACAAAGCACATAAATGTCTGCCTCTTGCTCTTTTGGGTTCACATATTTCCCTCCAGTATGGTTTCTAAAAAAAGTGAATTCAAGGAATATCAGGAGCTTCTTCATCAGAATCAAATTCTACATTTTCATCTTTGATCCATTTTCCAGTCTCCCTTCCAACCAGATTTGATTTCAGCAAACTGTTTTAATTAGTTTCCTTTGACGAGATGTTTGTTAAGGGGCAGTGGATCTTACCCTCCACTCTGCCACAGGGACCCTGAAACCCTATTAAGGTAATTAAACCAAATCAATATGACATCATCACATGGGTTCCAGAGCCCTATTATGGGAAAAACAAGAATGGACCGACTGCCTCCCCAACAAGCATGTCGTAGGAGTTAATTAGCTGCGGACTTATTTCGAAGTTAGAGTGCACCTGCCTGAGCGGCAAAGAAAAACCAACTGCACACAAATAAGTCAGTAAAATGGAGAAAAAAAAACATGCAAAAATCAGGCACAACCTGGCACAAAGCCAAAGTCTGAACAGTCAAACAACCAGGACTTTCCACCGGAGCTTACAGCCAGTAATGCGACGAAAAAGAAGAAACAGACGAACAACCAAGACTTTCCGCCAGAGCTTATAGTTGGTGAACGCGAAGAAAAAGAAGAAACTGACTAACAATCAGGACTTTCCGCCGGAGCTTACAGACGGTGAATAAAGAAGAAACAGATGAACAACCAGGACTTTCTGCTGAAGCTTACAGTCGGTGAATGCGATAAAAAAGAAGAAACAGACGAACAATCAGGACTTTTCACCGGAGCTTACAGCCGGTGAACAAAGAAGAAAAAGAAGAAACAGACGAACAATCAGGACTTTCTGCTGAAGCTTACAGCCGGTGAACAAAGAAGAAAAATAAGAAACAGACGAACAATCAGGACTTTCTGCTGAAGCTTACAGCCGGTGAACAAAGAAGAAAAAGAAGAAACAGACGAACAATCAGGACTTTCTGCCGGAGCTTACAGCCGGTGAACGCGAAGAAAAAGAAGAAACCGTCTAACGAACAGGACTTTCCGCTGAAGCTTACAGCCAGTGAACGTGAAGAAGAAGAACAGATAACAACTAAGACTTTCCACCAGAGCTTAGTCAGTCAACGTGAAAAAAAAGAAGAAATAGTCTAACGACCAGGACTTTCCATTAAAGCTTACAGCCGGTGAGCGTGAAGAAGAAGAAACAGATAACAATCAAGACTTTCCACCAGAGCTTACAGCTGGTGAACAACGAAGAACAACAACAAAAATGGCATTCATTCTGTACATGTAAAACAAACCTTCCATTGCAAAGTAATTTAGCTTCATCCTCAGGAATCTCTTCTGACAGCAATTCATTTATCCTCCTTTTCTAAATAAAATTTAAAAAAAAAAAAGTATAACATATTCTTTCAGTTACTTATGTAATTTCAGCTTCATAATATATTATTCAATCATTTATTTATGTAAATTGTACATTCTCAGATTTTGCTTCCATTTGTATTGTGATTATGAAAGAAATTGTACTATGAATATTTAGACAATCTTACTAACTTACAAACTGAAAATGAAGAGAAATCAAAAGTTCTTCTTCTCTTCCACCATTTACTTCAGCGATGTGTTGGGGGGGGGGGGGGGGGAGATGTATGGATCGTGTGTGTGCTTTTCCCAATGCATCATACAAGTTGGTGTTCATTTCTGTTAGGTTGCACTTGATGATGTCGCTCTACGACTTGTGTGTGGTCTTCCTCTTGCTCTGTGTTCATTAGATTTCTTCAGCGTGGCTCTCTGCGGCAGTTAGTACTAGGGCATTCATATCAGGTGGCCAACCCATCTCATTTGTTGTTCTTTAATGAAATTTATGAGTGATTTAAGTCCTAGTATTCATCTAATTTCTTCATTCTTTATTTTATCTCTTCTGGTCACACTGGCAGCTTTCCTAAGACATCTTATCTCTGTTGTTACGATCTTACGCTCGTTAGTTGTAGTAAAGGTCAATGTTTGTTAACTGTCCCATAACCTGATTTGCTTTTGCATATTGTATGTTGATTTCTCTATTTATCTTCCATTTGAGGTGAAACATTTGGCTATCCTCCGAATAACGGTTCTAAATTATCGAGGCGGAAAATATACCCTAACAGAGCCTCAGTCACATGTCAACTGACTACTTCCGGGGACTATAACGCCACCGCGGAATTGTGAACTTCCTCCACCGCCGAGAGTATCCACTACGCAGCTCAAGCGGCGTGGATTGGGGCTAAATTAGATGGCTAGGACTCGAGAACAAATAAAATGAAGGAAGCTGCAGGAGATGCGGTAGCTGCTGCTCGTGAGTCCCAGCCAGCCGGAAACGCGCAATTTAAGACAACGGAAGTCAACGATTGACAGGTGACTGAGGCCGTGTTAGAATATATTTTACGCCTCGATAATTTAGGACCGTTACACCGCTTAACCTCAGAAGGAAGCAACTAACTTATAGCTTTTGGATGAAAGCGGCCAACGATGCCAGAGACCCAGCTTCACACTCTTTTTATCATAACATTACCCACCTAGGTGACAGACCGGTCAGAGACATACAGAGACCAGCAGCCTGGGACGCTGCACTAGAAATTAACGATGATGAAGACCTAGCTAGGACTGTAGAGGCAAGCGTTAGATTTGTCCCTCAAATCCCTCCATGGAGTCTAGAGCTGCCCAGGACAGACATGAGTCTGATGAAAATTATTAATAAGAATACTGAAACATTTGAAGCCAAAACAATAACAGAAGAATACATAGACCAGATCCGATCAGACAATCTGGTTGCATACACTGACGGATCTAAGAATGAAGCAGGAGAAATAGGAGCAGGAGTAATAATCCCACAGTGGAATATGCAAAGAGAATATAAAATAACAGATCATGTGGCAGTATGCACAGCAGAACTAGTCTGTATAATGAAGGCACTAGAGATGGTAATTAATAAACTTCCAACTAAATTTACCATACTGACAGATTCATTGTCCTCAGTGCAGACATTAAAAACACATATAACTAGCAGTAGGCCAGATATTAAAGAAACAATCTTAAATCTAACAACCCAGCTCAAGAATAAAGGATGCCAAGTCACCATTGCATGGGTACCAGCACACAGAGGTGTAATAGGCAATGAAAAAGCTGACACAGCAGCCAAAAAGGGAGCTAAATGTGATGTTTTAGTAGATGTAGGACTCGGAAAAACTGAAAGGACTAGCATAATCAAACGACATATAATTAAAATGTGGAAACTTCAATGGCAAGGGAGCACTAAAGGCAGATATGCCTACAACAACCTTAAAGAGCCCACCTTTAACACACAGGTACGGGACAAACTGAAAATCCCAGCTAACAAACTACTATGGAGAGCTAGGTTGGGGTAGCATTCAGAGAAATTTAGTATTGAGGAGTATTTTCTAAAACGCAAACAACAGATTACTGCAAACAAATGTTTAAAGGTAGATAGCAATAAAGACATCCAAAAACTGGTTAAACAGTTCCTTATTAAAGCAATCCAAAACTAAAAAGACCAGATTAAGGATTTACTCAGTACAGCAGAACTAACTGATCAGATGGTAATTCTGGACACACTAGCGTAAGGGAGGTAGTGTAAGTTTGATGAGTGCATAGATGTGAACATGGATACATACACAAGGATGAGTGTGTGTAGTATGAGTGCATTTATGTATAGGAAGGATACATAAGACACGGTGTATGTAGGCGGATGGTAAGGGATCACGTATGGACAGGACAGTGTGAATATAGCTATGCGACAGGTAAAGATGAACGAGTACATGGATATAGAAATGTATTACTGTATGCATGTATATGTGGGTATGAGTGTGCATGTGTGCATATATATGGGAGCATGTATATTTCTATATTTGTGTGTGTATGAATGACAGTGCACTCAAAGAACCCATAAATTGTGTTACTGCATGTCTGTTAATTAATGAGAATAAATGGAATGAAGTGTGTACGCAGCAAGAACGTCATCAACACACACCATCCACCAGAACATGATAAGACAGTACCGGACAGGTCACATACCAGTAACGGGACATAACTTAAAAGTGACACGACCAGACGAAAGTACAGATATAGCGACAAAAACGCACAATACATGGAAGAGTGAATGTCACTACGTGTGGATGTACTCGTTTTTTATGAATGTAAGTACAGGCATTGGTAAACGCATATGAAAGAGTTTTCGTGTGTACGTAATGTCAAATAGGTATGCATACACAGATAAGTATGAAAGGACGTGCAAATATTTAGTGTTGTCTGCGTGTATGAGTACTCGAGTGCATGTACGCATACACCTAGTTGGGTGCGTCCATATACTCCGGGGATTCATACACAAAACCATCCCATTCCACAGCATGCATACAACATGCACATGACCGACAGGACTCACAACGTAATGTCAAATAGGTATGCATACACAGATAAGTATGAAAGGACGTGCAAATATTTAGTGTTGTCTGCGTGTATGAGTACTCGAGTGCATGTACGCATACACCTAGTTGGGTGCGTCCATATACTCCGGGGATTCATACACAAAACCATCCCATTCCACAGCATGCATACAACATGCACATGACCGACAGGACTCACAACAAGATATGATTGACAGCAAATAGGGAAAACAAGTGACTCGATAACGACAGGACTAGAACGCATAACCACCAATACCACCCCATCACTGGGATGATAGCAAAGGTTGGTAACGTGATATACATAGTCCCAGCAAAAGGCCATGCTAGAATCCAGCAAGACGGCAACGACAAGAAATGACTGAATGGCCTTCCGCCCCCTTTCCCCTCACCTTTCCCTACTCTTTCGGATGCACTATGAGTTTAACCCCCCAACCCATTCCCACAGATAGCACTTGAGTTCGTTACCCAACATGCCACAGCAATTCTCATCGCCGAACATTTGGATCTCAAAGCGTGAGCTGGATGCTCCGGTTATATGGTATTTATGTGCTTGTTTGGTGTTGGTAAAAAAAACGAAAAACTTCTTGCCTCTTTCAACCGGCTCCTAGATTGAGCATTGGTTATATCGAAGCAGTGTTTTATTGTCTGGAGCTCGTTCTCCAGTTATTGACGTTTCTGTGCGGCGATCGTATTACGCCTGAGGTTTTGTTGCTGCTGTCAGGGTGAGGTAAGGGATCTCGGTCTGCCCTAAAAAGGGCGAACATAGGCCTTGGGACGGCCTGGGTCGGGTGAGGTAGGAGTGGCTTTGGCAGCGGACATCGTGTCGTCTGGCTTGTGGGCTGTGAGGTTTCTCCGGGCTGGTGGGCAGGGTTGTTCAGCTGTCATGGCGGCTTGGGCGGTTTTACATTGGTGACTGGTTTTCGCTGCGACTTCTTTAGTATTGGGAATTCTTTTGTCTGCCCCGCTTGCCTTGGGGTGTTTGCCAGTGGGCCTGTTCGTTTGTTGTGGGCGTTTTAAATCTCCAGTAGGTGTTTCCCGTTTCTTCGTCGATCTCCTCTATCTTGTAAGGTTCTACTCGGGCCCATGCCTCTGCCAGTTGTGCTTGTATGACTTTGTCTGCTTCCATCTTTTTGTCCAGTTGGCGTCTTTCTTCTTGGGTGGCCTCGAGGAGGGTCCTCAGTGCTTTGATACTGTGCTCCCCACTATGGGCTCCTGTGTCCTGGTCTGTACCTTTGACGGGTTCAGTCAGCTGCGCCTGATCTTTTACTGCTTTTGCTTCAGTGATTGTGCCTTTATCCGCCTTCTGCGTCGATTTGTCTGTGTGGGTGCTTTTGTCAGCCCTGCTGACACTTAGGTTCTTTGTTGTTATGCTGACTGTCGACCTTTCTTTCTGTAACAGGTCGCGCTCTGTTCTGGTAGCTATCTCAGCCGCGACTGCCTCTGCTTTAGCCTGTACAAGTCGGGTGACCTCACTGTATGCTTCTTCTCTCGCCTCTTTCAGCACTGCCATCTCTCTGCTTCTCTCCTCTCTCTCCTCCTGTCTGCATCTTTCGTCTGCTGTCTGGGCCGCTGCCAAACTTGCGATTAAATTGCTGACGCTTTCTTTGGTTGCTGTGGCTACTTTCTGGTTTTCGCTTAGCTGTGCAGTAAACGCTATCCTGTCGTCTTTCAGGTTTTTAATTTCTCCTAGCAACAGGAAGATAAGTTCGTGCGTTTCTGCCTTTTCAGCAGCAGCGATGGTTTTCTGTTTCTGGAGCTCTGCCTTTAGTTCCGTGATTATGTTCGCAAGTTCAGGGTCTCTGGTGGTAGCATCCTTCTCTGACGTCCTGCTTTTGGCTGGGCGGGCGGGTCGGCATTTTGTGCTGTTTGGTCTGGATGCCACGTACCTCTGCTGGTGGCTCAATCGGTCAGTTGCTAGCGCCAACTTGATCTCTTTGAGGTACGGGCAGCCCATGTACCTCGCGCTGTGGGCCCCTGTACAGTTTGAACACCGTCTTCTTGGGTTTGGTCTCTTGAAGTCCGGGTCCTCCATGGCCAGAGGGCATTCCTTAAAGTCATGTGCCTGGGAGCAGTATCTGCATAATTGGTTGCTGTGGCAAGTCGCGGCGGTATGCCACGCCTTCTTACAGCATGAGCACTGCAGAATCTCAGTACTGTGGGTTCCCGGTCGCTGTTGCTGCCTGTGTGGGCGGGTGTTGGTGGCTCCCTGCGCCACGACTGGGGCGGCTTCTAAGTAGACTGGTGCCTCGATAGGGCCTACATCCAGGGCTGGCGGCGTCTGGGCTGGTGTCTCCTCCGGGTCGTCGACCGGTTCTGGCATCGTCAGTTCTGGTGCGGCGACAGGTGCTTCCTCTTTGTTGGCTGAGGTCGCCCTGGTGTCCCGGCGCTGGACAGGATTCTTCTTACCACGGGCGATGGTTTCGTGTGGCTGTGGCTGGCAAAGGCTGTACTGATCGGACTGCTGCTGATTGCTCGGTCCCTGCAGAGTCTGGCAAGGCTTGTTAGAGCGTTCTGAAAAGAACACCCAAGCGTGTTTTTCTCCGCAGTTCTCGAGACAATCGTTTAACAAGTGATTGCTATACTGGCTCCTCAACAATGATGTGCTCCCGGGCCGCTAATAACCCACCCGCAGACGAAAACCGATAGCGTAGTCGAGCCAAACTCAGCCGAATATCAAGCGAGTCTGACCAGTATCTAGCTATCGATAATCAGGCTACGAATGGATAGTTAGCAAGCTAACGAGAGACACACGTGGCTTTATCGGGCGGTAGAGCGAGCGAGCGAGCGCTGTGTGCGACTCGGTATTTACGTACACCGGAGCTTAGCTATCAACACAACCCGACCACATAATAACAAATAACGACTGGACCCGCTTAAGGCTCCACATAAACTCTCACACACATATCCATTGCATGACTAACCCGTTCATATTACAGGAAGACAACTATTAGACCATTATGGTCACTCGCGGAAAATTATCACATTTCGGAACTATTCAAATTCAAAAACTGTTTTCAGTACTTTTTGGCAAAATTAAAATACTCAAAATTTTAAAACTATAAATGGTGGTCCAAAGGACGTTGTGTATGGAAGCTCGCTCTCCTTCGAGATACGCCAAGCCAGATCAAAGGGAGACAGAACAAACAGGAAACACCAAGAAAGAAGAAGGAAGACATGCACCAGTGACAACAGGACGAGCAGTTTGATTCGGATGGAAGCATCAAGCCCAGAAATGGCACAAACACTAGTATTCAGTCATGAAAGTGACGCAAATAACCCAGACCACAAATATAGGCGGAGACTGCTAGCAGCCTAGGCTAGCTAGCAGCAGTCTGAACGTGGTCGAGCTTTTCTTTTTTTTTTTCTCAAAAGGACTTAGACTTGGACTTTAGGACCGTTATTCGGAAGATAGCCGGACCGTTATTCGGAGGATAGCCAAACATGACCATTCATATACTACTTACTGCCTTAATTAACCCTCTTAGCACGGACGGGCCGATTATCGGCCAGCGGATGTCTTGCCAAAAACACGGAACGGCCGATGATCGGCCCGATCGTGTTTCGCCTCGAACCGCTAAGAAATCTCCTACTTTGAAACACTGAAAGTGATTCATTTATATTAACTGCGGTATCAGCTTTACACATGGCGACTTTCGAGTGTTTGGTATCGAAGTGAAAATTGTTGTTGAATTTTTTAGATAGTGACCTGAACCGCTAAAAGTATGTCTGACTCGTATGTTTCTGCCCCTAAACTTGATGTTGATAAAACATTTGAATCAAGTGTTGACACTAATTCTGTTGATACTGATGCAGGATTTAGTGTTAGTAGTTATAGTGGGAATCAGATGGGGACGCTGTTGTGTTGAGACCACAGCCCAACCATGGCTCAGGGTATATCCACCCGAAGGCGTTGACACTCCGGCACATCCATTTATAGTGCTGACTGATGGTGAAAAACACATGTCACCTAAAGATATTATTGCTGTTTCACATATATATACCTGTTTTTGACTATTGAATTGCTTACAACATTTGTAAAATGGCCAAAGATCAATAAAAAGATTTCAAATAAAAAAAATTTTTGTTTTTAGTTTTATGTTTCAAGCATTGAAGTTGAAAATTCAAATTCAAATTTTCTATTTTTAGATATGCAAATGAGATAATTTGCATATACATCAATTAATTTTAACGATATTGTGAAAATCACGAACTTCAATCTATATCCTTCAAATAGATATATTATTTCATAGGGGTCAGAATAACAGAAATCTGTCAAAAAAATTAAATAAAGTAATAACCAAATTCACTGAAAAAATGCTCCGTGTTTTTGGCTAGACCTCTGAAAAACTTCCCGTGCTAAAAGGGTTAAATTGTATAAGGTATAAGGCTGTATACAAACCCGTAAAGTCTCAAGCAAGCCTGCATCATTGCCTTCTCTCTTAAATGACATTATTATAAGTCACCGCTATTTGTGGTATTTCAAACTGTAGTACTAATAATATTGAAGTAGTGATGTATAGTGCTAGTTTAAGTTGGCTTTCATCAAGCGACATGACACCGGAAGTGGGCGCACATCGTCTGCTATGAATCGTCCTCAAACCAGGGTTGCCAGATAAAAAAAAAGGCATTTTATGCCAAACCATCACGCAAAATATGCCAGAAAATTGCCAAATAAAGTGTAACATTGTACTCACTTCACATCAAAAGCTCTAGATTGAATTCTTCACTCCCCCGTGTGGGTTCCGGGGCCCTATTGTGGGGAAAACAAGAATAGACCCACTGCCTCCCCAAAAGCATGTCGTAAGAGTCGACTAACTGGGGAGCTTCCTTTGAAGTCGGAGTGCGTCTGCCTGAGAGGCAAGGAACCAGCAGTCTGCATTCAATTGAATCAGATCTGTAAAACTGATGCACATGCAACACTCAGGTTCTGGGGCATGACTGCAGTCCAGAAGTGGACGAACAACCAGAACTTTACGCCAGAGTGTACAGCTGGTGAACACAAAGAATAAGAAGAAGAATTCTTCACTGTCATCCTTACTGGAACAAGTGGAAGATGCAGCATAAACCTTTTCGGATGTAAAATCTTTAGGCATTTCCTCAGATGGAATTAAGTCTTTGCAACATTTCTTTGATATCAATAGTTCTGCTCTAATTCTGACAACTGCATCAAGAAAATCCAGTTGTATTTTTTTCTTGCTTTGATTTAATTAAAGTAACAAGAGAGAATATTCTCTCAACTACAGCATTGCTAACGGGCATTATTAGGCAAGTAAGGGTGAAAGTGGCCACTTCTTTAAATGCCTGGTGTCTGATACGTGCGGACCTTCATTGTGACGTGCTGAGGCGCTTCAAGCTGATGTGTGTGGTACCAAGATGAAATAGGCCAAGTAGGGGTAAAACAGTAGTTACTTCAATGCTTTCAAAATGTAGAGCTCGAACGCTATGCGTTAAGTTCCAATGGTTGTATTGATATATACGATCAGCAATACAAGGAGAAATACATATGCAATCAATAATCAACTCGTTCAACCAAAGCTCACTCGTACATCCGTGGACGGTTATGTCCTTACGATAGGTCGCAGTCCGACCTTGAGATCCAGACGATTTACTTTCTCCTCGGACAAGTCCGAATTAAGCAATGAAAGTATACCGGCTTGCTGCCGAGAATGTAGTGCTCACCAGCTTCCTGCTGAGGTCTTGGAGTCCCGGGGTAAAACGTCCTCAAGGATCCAACTTTATATAACGTTTGCTTCCGTGGGATCCCGGGGTAAAGCGTCCTCAAGGATCCCCACGTCCGTCTCCTTCGGACTATAAACATCAACTGCTCAGACAACAATATTATCATAACAACGTTACGTATTGTTTTGACGTCTTATTTGCTCACTCCGTACTGGTGCGTTCTGGTGCACATTCGCACGCGACAGCTTTTCCCCCCTCCCCAGGACGACCGAGCACTAGGGCTTGTCGTAGTCTCGGTCGGAAAACTGGAGTCATGTCGCGGCAAACAGCACCAGTACGAGAGAGCAAATAAGAACACTTGAATACACACACACTCACTCCTCAATATATCGTCAATACATTACTAAATGCATGCAAAATATAGATTCCTGACTTCACTAAGCATTATTATCAACAACATTATTGTTATCCAAATTATTTTTCATAACATCATGCATTTTAAATATCATGTAAATTGAACAAATAAACATCAATCGTCTTCCAATGCCTCTGGGGTGCGCGACAAAAACTCGGCTAAGACATTCTCTTTCCCTGGGCGATAAATAACTGTGAAGTTGAACGTCTGTAGAAACATTGTCCATCTTAATATGCGTGAGTTTTTGATGGGTGCTGAGTTCAAGACTTCGAGTGGACGATGGTCTGTCAAGACAAAGAAGTGACTGCCATACAGGAATTGGGTAAACTTCCCTATTGCCCAAAAAATGGCTAGTGCTTCCCTTTCGCCCACGCTGTAACGGCATTCAGTAGGAGACAGCTTCCTGCTGGCATAAACAACAGGAAGTAGGGTGCCCTCTCTGGATTGCATCAACGTCCCACCAATCGCAACATCAGACGCATCTGTGGATACATAAAACGGCAGAGACAAATCTGGCAAACACAAGAACGGATTACTATTAAATGCCTTTTGTAATCTCTGGAGCGCGTCCTCGCACTCTCTCGTCCAGATAACCTTCGCTGGCATTCCTTTCATCGTCAATGAGGACAACACGGCTGTAATGGTTGAATAGTTAGGAATGAATTTGGCATAAAAGTTACATAAACCCAATAACGCACGCACTTGTTTCTTCGTTTTTGGTATAGGAATGTTAAGAATCTTACCCACCGTGGTGGCTTCGGGTTTACGGACCCCGTGTCCTACAACATGACCGAGGAACGTGACCTCCTCGAAAGCGACCTTCACTTTAGTTGGTCTAACTGTCAGATTAAACAATTTTATGCGTTCCAGTAATGTCTTTAGACCTCGAATATGTTCGTCTAAATCATTATGGAATAGCAGAATGTCATCCAGATAATGAATAACATCATTACGACCCTGTAACAACTTGCGTACGAGGCGGGTGAACGTCGCCGGTGCTCCGGAAAGCCCGAAGACCATATAGTTGAAGTGAACCAAACCTTTGTTCGTCTGAAACGCGGTGTATTTTTTTGGAATCCTCGTCTAAGGGAATCTGCCAATAACCCTTGGTAAGATCTAACTTTGTAAAATACCTAGCCTTCGACAATGCCAGAAACATATCTTCCATATTTGGGATATTTTCAGCATCTACAACCGTGATTCGATTCAATTTTCGGAAATCTATACAGATCCGAAGGCTTCCATCTTTCTTTCGGACCACCACTATTGGAAAAGCATAGGGTGATGTCGACGGTTCAATTATACCCCACTTAATCATGTTATCGATTTCCTTATCCACGGCATCCCGATAATGAAAAGGTATAACATATGGTTTCATTTTGATGGGTTTATGATCTATTAATTCAATGGAATGCACTGCTTCTGTCGTTCTACCCGGTATGTCCGATAATGTTTTGTCGAATGTAGCCAAAATACGCTTTATACGACGCACCATATCTGGTGGAACCGAGGGCGCGACTTCCACGTCTCTCCATGTTTCTCTGGGTACCAGTTCGGGTAGAGACAATTGATGAGCAGTGTCCACCTCGACATCATTGCTCTCTTCGTCAATGACGTGGCAGAATGCTGCCTCCATTTCTTCTTCTTGCAAATTATTGTCGGGTGCCTCAGCTGCTTCTAACACTTCAGACAAAAACACCAGGGCGAGACTTAAACTCTTTAAGCATGTTTAGATTGTATACTTTATGATGTCCTCTGACATCAATAAGATAGTCCACATCTGAAATTTTCTTAATAACTTTAAAAGGACCCTGCCATTTGGCTGATAAACAATTATTATTATCTTGCAGAAATATCAATACATCATCATTAGGCTGGAGAGTGATTAGTCTCCGGTTACGGTTAACGTATTCTCTTTGATGAGTACCAGTATTTTCCAAGTTGTCCCGTGCAACTTGACAACCTGAGATTATCTTGTTACGTAACTCCGTCACGAATTTAATATATGTTTGAGGCGCTTCTTGATCGCCTTTACCGATCCATATGTCCTTTAACAGCGACAGTGGACCTCTGGGATTAGCACCATATATAAGTTCGAAAGGTGAGAAACCTGTACTGCTCTGGGGCACCTCACGATAGGCGAACAAAACAGCAGGAAGGTATTTATCCCAGTCTGCTGGAAATTGATTAGTAACTTTGGCTAGCATAGCTTTTATTTTCCCATTTAAATTTTCTACTAGCCCATTTGATTGTGGGTGATATCTTGCAGAAAAAACGTGAGAGATGGCAAGTAATTTGTCAAAAGAGCGCATTGCTTCTGAAATAAATTGTGATCCGTGATCTGACAGAATTGTTTCAGGAAAGCCTACTCTAGAGAATATAAGCATCAATGCTTCTGCTACTGACTCAGTAGTGATATGACGTAACGGTACTGCTTCAACCCAACGTGATGCCATGTCTACAAATGTTAAAATGTATCTAAATCCTCTTTGTGAAACAACCGGTAACGGACCCACAAGATCGACAGCAACTTTTTCGAAAGGACGACATGGAAGATAGACCCTTTGAATAGGAGGTTTCTGAGATGCATCCTTTCTCGCCATCATTTGACAGTCTTTACATGACCTACAGTATTTCCTAATATCTGTGGAACAACCAGGCCAATAGAATTGTGCAAGAACTCTTTTCTGTGTTTTACCTATACCTAAATGTGCAGCAAAAGGTGTGTCATGTGCAACTCTCAGAACATCGGTTCTATAACATAAAGGAACGACTAATTGTTTACATTGCATAACAGGTGATTTAAAATATCTCATTAAAATTCCATTCTTCACATAAAAATGCCATGTACCTTGCTTACATGTTCTAACACCGGTTACTTCTGCCCTAGAAAAGCATTTAGTGAGGGTAGGATCCGCCCGTTGTTGTATCGCAAAACTGTTTGTTTTCGGTGCGTGTGGTTCGTTTCCAGGCTCTTTTGGTCGTTCTGGTTCATTCTTTACTGCTTCTTCGCTAGCTATCCCACATGTGATAGCTATTTGGTTTTCGTTCGAAGTAGCTGACTGTAACGCAGGTGTGGCTTCCTCGTTACTTACTCTCTGTTGAGCGCGTGTAACTGCAGCATTAGCTTCAGTCACACCCTCATTTTCTTTATACCAGCGTTCGATTTCCTCACGCGAGGGCATCTTTGCTCCTGGAACTGATCCAAGGAGTACGTCCGCTGACGGTCTCTCCAAAACACACACTTCGGCAACCCCTTGAAAATACGGGTTATTTAAATAGACTTTTGCTAAAGGAAATCTTTCTAAACGACCACCAAAAGTACGACACTTGCAATACCGACCTAAGTATGCCGA